TATAGATGGTGAAGAAATCATCATTATCTCGCTACGTGCTTTATACTTCTCATTCCTCATTCCATTCTCCATGCTCCATCCCATCGGAATGTGAGATTTCCAAGAGGCTAAACTGTTGTCCTAAGTATTAACATTCTGGAGTGTACTCCAGCGCCCAATCTTAGCCTCCGAAGACTGTCTTGATACTCAGAGTTCGCTGACCAAGCTCAGATGCCTCAAATGAGTCTGAAAAAGCGGCAATTACTAGACATTATGAAATAAATAACTATTATTGATGTTGTGTTAGTTTTCGCAGGAGGCTGGTAAAATGATAGGTGGCAGGGAAAGTAGTCAGGAAGAGTGTTATTGCCACTGTCATGGAAACGAAAATTTCCTGGCATAAAGTAGGCATGAAAATATTTTGTTTTCAAAGCTTATATGCCTGTAGAATCCATAATTTCAAACAGTTCCAAGATTGGGCTACTAGTTCAAAAGTTACAGCCCTTTGAATTTTCTTTCGAAATTGGTTTCTAGTCCATAACTTGATTGAGAAGTCCGATCGAAAAAGTACGAATTGTTTTGGATTCTACGCACCAAAATTAATATGAAAAAGTGTTTTCCCGAGAAATTTTGCTGCAGTCGATTTTTGGAAAAAAAGGAAGGTTGTACACTGCCTTATTTTTTGAGACCGCAAAAAAAATTGTCTCAGAACGACCGGAAAAAAACATTTCCTTATAGAATGTGGCCTGCAGAATCCATAATTTCAAACAGTTTGAAGATTGGACTACTAGTTCAAAAGTTACAGCCCTTTGAATTTTCTTTCGAAATTGGTTTCTATTTCTAGTATTCTAGTCTATAACTTTTGATTGAGAAGTTTAATCGAAAAAGTACGAATTGTTTTGGATTCTACGCACCAAAATTAATAACAACAAGTGTTTTCCCGAGAAATTTTGGTGTAGTCGATTTTTGGTAAAAAATGAAGGTTATACACTGCTTTTTTTCTAAACCCCGAAAAAAAATTGTCTCAGATCGACCCGGAAAAAAATTTTTCTTGTAGAATGTGGCCTGTAGAATCCATAATTTCAAACAGTTCCGAGATTGGGCTACTAGTTCAAAAGTTACAGTCCTTTGAATTGTCTTTCGAAATTAGTTTCTAGTCCATAACTTGATTGAGAAGTCCGATCGAAAAAGTACGAATTGTTTTAGATTCTACGCACCAAAATTAATAAGAAAAAGTGTTTTCCCGAGAAATTTTGGTGCAGTCGATTTTTGGTAAAAAAGGAAGGTTAAATAAACACTGCCTTTTTTTGAGGCCCTCAAAAAAAATTGTCTCAGATCGACCCGGAAAAAATTTTTTCTTATAGAATGTGGCCTGTAGAATCCATAATTTCAAACAGTTCCAAGATCGGGCTACTAGTTCAAAAGTTACAGCCCTTTGAATTTTCTTTCAAAATTGGTTTCCAGTCTATAACTTTTGATTGAGAAGTCCGATCGAAAAAGTACGAATTGTTTTGAATTCTACGCTTCAAAAAAACACAATATAAACATAATCTTCAAAGCTGACAACCATGTTAAATCCTTTCTGTCCCACATAAAAGATCCCATCCCCCTCACCGAAAAACGTGGCATTTACAAACTTATTTGTCCGTCCTGTCAATCCTTCTATATGTATATAGGCCGAACTGGGAGAAAATTCTCCACCAGATTCCATGAACACCTATCCTGCATCAAAACCAACAATATACTTCCTCTTCAACCAAAACTTCTTTTGCTTCCCACATATTGGACACCGGTCATTCCTTTAACCCTAAATCAGATTTTGAAATTTTACATGTTTGTGACAAAAGTCAAAAACTTAATTTTCTTGAAAAACGGGAAATTGTTACCCAATCAATATTAAACCCGGGAAAAACACTTAACGAAATTCTAGGCTTCAATGAAAACTTATTTTTGCAATAATTTCTCATCCTGTATAAAATTTTTGTTTTGGATTCTACGCCCCAAAATTAATAAGAAAAAGTGTTTTCCCGAGAAATTTTGGTGCAGTCGGTTTTTGGTAAAAAAGGAAGGTTAGGTATGTACTGCTTTTTTTTGAGCCCCGAAAAAAAAATTGTTTTAGATCGACCCGGAAAAAAAATTTTCTTATAGAATGTGTAGTCCAGTAACTATATACATCAGACCATGCGTCAAATCCGGTAGTTCTGATTTTTTGTGGGATTGCTTATGTTGTTAACCCAATGTATAATTCAAGTTTTCGACCTCGAGCGGCGAACGCAACATAGTCAAATATACTAAAAACCAAGGAATTTTCGTTTTCTTTTCAGATTTTGACGATTTTAACCCTGAAGGACCAGTTTGTCGAAAATAACTAATGAATACGCTTTGAAAGTAGATGTATATGTATATTGAAAGACAAGTGTTACAATGTGACCTATTGTAATATCTTGTGGCACGAGTGGCGACGCGTTAACAACATAAGCAATCCCACAAAAAATCAGAACTACCGGATTTGACGCTTGGTACCCCCCACTTTAGGATGCATACTGCCAACCAGTCATGAAATGATTAATTTTTGGACATCACCAATGCAATAGGATTAAAACTTAAAATTATCATGTCACAAGCTCCCACAGGAATATTTTGACAGCGACGTTAAAATTATTTGAACTTTCCGGAAACTACGCCGTTGGTTTACACTAATCATAATGCACGTTTCCGTTAATAACTAAACTCCATTAGAGGGGCGACATGTAATTGTTAAATTCGGAGCCTTAAAATTACATAATCTAGAATAAATTTAAACTTTAACCGAAACCTCACCTAACCCTCTTAAAAATGTCTCGAACAATTTTAAACGGTATCATGGGAATGAGCAACTAATCTTTCGCGTTACAGCTTTAAATTTTCTCGACATACTCCTTATGAATCTATGAAGGTAGAGAGTTTTAGATAATATACCTTTTGAAATGAATAGAAATGTCTAGAGACTTACGAGAAAAAATCCGCTTTATACTGCCAGTGCGATAATTAGCTAGTTAATGGAACTGAGATGGATTTTTATGGTGCAGGGTGAAAATTTATGAGAAAATTAAGAAACGCCATTTCTGCATGAAAGCCTTTGGATGAATATACAGCTTGTAAGCATAGTGATGTAGAAGTTATTTCGGTCTAAACATCGAAAATAATGACGACACATCCTGTATATGACAATATTTAAGTCTAATCTGAGGGATTATTTATGAATAGTCACAAAGTTGGTTTATTGTATTTGAATGTTAGTGTCGTTTTTCCTGTTGGAATTGTTTGTAATTGCGCAATTCTTCTTCAAACTTGATCAAGTTTGTACTTTGTGAAATTTAGGTATAATGTTTTAAGTAAAACGAATTATTTGCGGGTTAAAATGTAGGGACATCTGGTCGTTTGTAAAGTTCATTTCCTAAAAATCATATACAAGATGAGTTAAACCGTAAGAGATATATTATTCTTATAATTAATAATTGGTTGGAAAACGCACTGTAAATTATTGATATTGCTGTACTATTATAACGAACGTTTTAGCAACTGAAAAAGTAAAATGAATTCAAATCTGTAATTCAAAAAACAAAACAACATTTTTTAGGTAATAACAAGAATGTAACTTTAACTTTTTATATGGGTCACCCTGTACATTATGTCCCGCAGGACATGAAAATAATTCAAAGTTCTTGGTTATTTGAAGTGTTTTTGGTATGGTGCATTAAGAAGTTTTGTACGTAATTGCCATATAATGCAACAATATACAGGGTGTTCCATATAAAAAAGTCACATTTATGTAATTATCTGAAGACTGCATGTTAATTTGGTTTTTTAAATTAAGATTTAGATTCAGTAATAAAAAATACACAATTTTGGTGATCTAACCGTCCTTCTAACTCCGCTACTAGGAAAGTTAGCAATAGGGCCGACTTAATATGAAACAGACTGTATATACTTCTTAAAATTGTCAAATATACCACGGAATTCTTCCCTTTTTAAGGTAATTTTTCATTGACTTCGTACTAGATATGCCCATTGAATTAAGCACACTACATTGGGAGTATTCTGATATCAGTTTTGAAATGCCTCCCTTCCAATTGATGCTTTAACGGTGAATTCGCATTCCGCACCACTGCTTTCCAAATAGTCGACTCCATTTTCTATTGCCTTATTTATGACTAGTAACTTTACGGATTTGAATTAAAGGGCTACACATACGGTCACCGACTAAAGTAATGATAATCGGAAACTTGCAGTTCTTATTTTAGTGATTCAGTTTTTTTACACCCTGACAAAAAAGACCCACGTAAACGCAGTAAAAAAATTCCACCCTATTGTCGTTAATAACAAGTTTCGTTGACAAATTTTATTAAGGAATTGACTAAGTTGACAGAGATCGAAGAAGATTTGCTGAAAGTTTGAATTCGACGAGAGCTATTAGAAAAAAAATTCATTTTGAAGAAGAAACAAAGTCAAATGCCAGTTTGTTGCTGTGGTCCTCGTATTATTTGGAATTTAGCGTATTTTCGTTTATATGTAGTTTTCAAGTACTTGGTGGTCCAAATGGTTAGAATTGTACTGTTCCACTTATTTTTATTTATTTGCCGTCCGCCCGTCCGTCTGTCACACGTACCTACTCCTTCTACATCGCTGAACCGATTTGGGCGATATGGGGCTCATTTGAAAGGGCTTGGTCCAATGATTCCGCGCATACAGATGCTTTTGGTTTTGGGCATGTGCAGTGTCAAAAATTTGGATTAACCCATATGCAATGCTAACTTTTTTATTTATGAAGATATTTAATTGGAACTGTATATGTATATAATGTTTCAATTGGTAATTTCATTCTACTTTCTTGGATTTTAACAAATTGATTCTTTACAGATTGTAGGTGATTATGTTACAGTTCCACTTCAAATATTCGAAAAAAGCTCACTTGACAAATTCTACTTCTGTGTGACGGGGTGAATTTGTAGAATTAGTTGTCTTTCTTTTAACCAAATACCTAGTGACCATAGTTTATTAATAAACAAACATAAAACTAGAACTAGGTTTTAACAAGAAAAGCTGCACTGTTTTAATACCGTCACGTTTATGAAAAATTTCAATAAGTTTATTAATGAATAACTTATTTATGTGTATGCGACCTAAGAAATTAACAAGTGTAAGCAAAAACCTATAAAGTTGATAGTTTTTCTGAAAATCGTTTGTTTTCCCGTAAATTCAAACTCTCCCAAAATCCCTTTGGGCTTAATTCGGGTATTTCTGACATACTAATATTGTCAATATCGTTAATAAGTAAATATTGATAACTCTTAGAGGTTAACGGCTTCCACTCTACTCCCCTGCATTGTGGTTTGCTGAAAGGATCTACTTAGTGATTGGAATTATACTAGTTGTGGACTCACCCGTTGCTTGCAAATGATGTAAAAAAGTCAAATAACGTATCCTTCATTAAAACGTCGTTTTTGGAAAATTGTATGTGTGGAAACATTGATTGAATTGCCTCTATACCATGTAAAATCAAATTTTCTTCACCATGAGTGGTCCCTACGAATGTCTTCATTATTATTTAATAGTTTCTGAATCTAATGATGCACCTGCCTTCCAAGACTATCCCAAAAAAAGTGCCGAGAGTCACACTGGCATTGTAACCGTAAATTCCTGCATAAACCGATGAATTTGTAACATTCGCCTGCATTTGAACTGCAGTTTCAAAGCCGACATTACTTAATCTATCACCAAAGGCCTAAAAATTATCTGGCGTGGACAATTTCGCTGTAGAATTGGTAGCTACCTTATGAAATAAACCGCTGTTATGTTTAGGCGTTTGTTCATTTTGGAGATAAAACGATTTAATCCCTTCAGACACGTCATGCTTTTTCGTTTCCAAGACCACGTGTTCATAATCAAATAAATGTTCAGCCCATGCATCCCAGTGTGTTTCCACTTCATTAGTTACATTTATGTTTAGAACTAGAAATGATCATTTTTAATATGATACTAATACGCTGAACATTACTAATAGATCCTAAATTTCCTTCGTCCTTTGTAACCCAAGTTAACCAAGGGACATCGTTCACCTCGCCCTCTTCCAACTGCATGTACGGGTGTTTTGTTAGAAAAGAGGACTCCGACTCTACTTCTACAACGGGTCCAAAGGGCGCAAATGGGAATCGTGCAACGTGGAAAAACCATTTTGTTTGATCCACGAGTTTGTCTGCGGGTATGTCTTTGAGGCATTTAATGAAAGTTTGTGTATTCGAATCTTCGCAGTTCAAAATCTTTGCCAGCTTTCTAGCTTTCTGCGCGGCACCGTCCTGAATGGCCCATGACATCAGAGCAGTTCCACTTTGAGATATACCTCTATGGAACAAACCTTTAGATTTCGGGGAGAAATAATGCAAGTGGACCGAAGCTCCACCAGATGACGCCCCCATGAGCGTTACTGATTTTGGATTACCACCAAATTGCTTTATATGCGTTTGTATCCATTTAAGCGCGTGTTGCTGGTCCTTCAATCCGATATTTCCAGGTAGAACATTATCTTCGGTGCTTAAAAACCCTGAAGTAGGTTATAGTATACTGCTGAACAGGGGTCAGATTTGAAACCTACCCAGAATACCTAGGCGATAATTTATATTCACATAAATTATTTCGCGGTCCATTATCGGACGGGGACCTGCGTATGTAATACCGGACCCAAACATAAACGATCCTCCATGAATATTAACTATTACGTCGTAATTGTCATCAGTCGAAATTTGTGTTTTTGGTACGTAGACATTTAAGTACAGACAATCCTCAGTGCCTGTAGCCAACTAATATAAAAAAATCTCAAACAAATATTGAACCCATATATACCTATGGTGCTCTCGAAGGCCAAAATTACACTTCCAAATTGCGTGCACATGTACTGTTTATTTGCGTTTAATACACCATTCCAAGGCGACGCATCTTGAGGCGGCTGTTTTTCAAAGAGAAATTTTATATTTTATGGATGCACCAAAAACGTACCTCAAATCGTAAATCGCCGACTGGGGGTTTTGCATACGGAATTCCCTCAAATGCCGAAAATTTACGACCATGAAATGATGACTTATAGAATCCTCTTATTGGTCCTAAGGAGGTCTGGACAAGTGGCCCATCTTCCGCTACAACTCCTTGCGGAAATAGACGCAATGTGTATTAATTGTAAGAATTTGTAACTACCTACCCCTTGCGTACAGAACCACTAGCAAGAAATGGAACATGTTGAGAAAGCGCGGCTAGTCCGAGGAACGTATTTGAATCAATAATAAATCACATAGATTATAATGGATGTTGTACCCAATTAGTACAGAGAGACACTGATATTCGTCTCTAAGCGTTTCTTTATTTATAGAATTTGAATAATATCCTTATAAATGTTATTGAATTACGCATTGCACAACTAAATATTTTTTCCCATTCGGGTCAAAGGAAACGATACTCAACGTAGTGAGGTCGCTTTCTTAGATTATATTTACCAGCCAGATAGAAGCACCAAATTTTGTATGAAGCTTCCCGAGACCCATAACAAACAATTTCCGAAGGGTTACCACTTCGAAGGGTCGCCCCTAAAAATTGACATTTTGCCATTTTTCTCAGAAACTTGAATTTTTACAATTTTATCCTCACTACAATTTTATGGGTCATGAAAAGACCCTTAAAAGTGGTACCATACATGTATACCTTCCGTTTCCGGTTGCTGGCGTTTCTAAAGTTTCTAAAAAATGAGCGGAAAAGAAGGAGGTGCATTTTGGAAACGACAAAAATTAAATGAAGTATTAGAAGAAGATTTAGCTATGACTTAGCCCCCGGCGGTCCATGAACTAAATTCGGCACTGCACGGAACCGTGACACTTTCTCGCAAAGCGGCAGTTGACGAATTCTCTGCAGACCTTTGTAACTCTCGGTATTGTGATCCACGCTAGGTCCCACTTCTTGTTGTCCATTTTCGAACCTAAGAGCTCCTGATCGCTTATAATCCAAATCTTGAGAAGTGAGATTAATAAGTGGTAATTTACATTTTATTTTCACCTGGGTAGTGGGTAGTTTCTCCTGGGGTGAGTTTTTGCTACAGAATATTTCTATCTTGGCGGGTCCATGAAGACCAAATTTCGAGGCTAGGTGGATTGGTTTGTGCCCTAAAAAGTTTGCCAGCAAAACGTACCATTTGGAAATTATTTTGATTTTTAGATGTGCAGTTAATAGGCCAGTCATTGAGGATTTTTACCTGCAAATAACTCAGGCATTTTTAAAATTTTGTAAGTTTGGATGCGTAGAAATAAAATTCATAAAATGCACTATTCGAAACATGTCGCCGGTGTCGCCATCTGATCAAGATATCCACCAAACACGGTTTTTCACAGATATCTCCAAAACTGTGGATTTTTCGAAAATAGTTATTTACATAAAAGTCAGGAAAATAACACATTACTGGGGAGGAAATATTGAAGTGCGAGGCCCTATGGGGCCGAGTACTTTAATTTTAGAGTCAAGTAATGTCATTTTACTGACGAGTTTTGTATTAAATTTTACGCGAGATCGGTTTTTAATATAACATTTCAATTAGTATATAAAAATTTTAATTAATGCCAATCTGTCAGTGATGACAGGAGTCATTATAGACTAAGTGGATTGATAAAGACACTAAACCTTCCCCATACTTCTTTTAATTATTTCAGGTATTAGATTAAAGGCATTAGGTGACAGCGACTGTAGTTTCGACCCGAAGGTCATTATCAAGCTGAAATATTATAATTTGAAACAATGACTAACCTTAGGTGACCTACCTTAAGTTTAAGAGAACATATAAAGGTGGTTGAAAATTACATTTTAAAAATGGTACATTTGGTTATAATATGCTGTAAAACATGTGTTAAAAACGAGTCTAGAATATAGTTATACTTACGGGAAAAAATTACTAATTAGAACATGGGAACAATAACAATATTAACAATTTAAAAAACTTTTTGTCCTCACATATTATAAAACAATTGTTTAAATTAAAGAAATTAGAGGAGACGAGATGGACACAGCCATCTTGACAAGCAAAGTGAAATGTGCTATCTAAATACGACAGGTTAAGTAACTGAAGGGAAGGGGCAAAAGCGGGAAACTTGAAAAATTTGACAATTAAAAAGGAAAAAAGGGCCGGATTGGTTATGGGACGAAAAAAGAAGAAAGGTGAAAAGAATGTAACTTAGCTTACATTAGGCTATTGTTTTTAGAAAATATTTAAATTTAATGGGCCAAAATACCCTGTCTCTACTGAAGGTAGTCGTCGGGACTCGCGGACTGAATAGAAGCCCAAAAGTAACAACCCTGATCTGCTGAAGGCAGAAAAAGGGCAACGTAAACTTAAACTAAAAACGAAGGGCTGACAAGCGTATCGGGGTCGGAAACTACTTGGTAAGAAAAAGCAAATTTTTATTTAAGTGAAGGATTTCATTAAGGGAGTGTTGAGGATTCGTCCTATAGTGGAGGTAAATCTCTTTCATTTCAAAAAAGCCCAATTTGAGACTTTTGTTACAAACATGCAAAATTTGAAGTCCTCTTTAGAAAACGAGTGGCCTGAACTAAGGATGTGGTGAGCGAAGGAAGAACTGGGATGAGGTTGAACAGAGCTTATGTTGTTATTCTTAATGGCAGTGATGTGTTCAGAGAACCGAATTTTAAAAGAACGACCAGTTTGTCCAATGTAACAAGCTGGGCAATCTGAACAAACCAGTTTATAAACTCCAGACTTGGATAAAGGAGGTATTAGGTCTTTGGTTTTGACTAAGATAGAACTTAAGTTGTTCTTGACAGAGAAGGAAATGGAAACTTTGAGGGGACGGAAGAGACGGGCTATTATTTCTGATATGGGACCAATGAAGGGATTTGTTTTCAAAAAGGAATTTTCTGACTTTTTTCTGGAAAACCTCGTTATTGACTTCGTTTTTGAAAACAAATCCCTTCTTTTAGATCAGTTCCACATTTCTCATCTCCGTCTTACAAATATGAACCCTTCCTTTCCTAGATTATACGCTCTCCCTAAAATACACAAACCAGGCTACCCTATGAGACCCATTGTATCATTTACCAACACCCCAGTTTCCAAGATCACCAGCTGGCTTAACACGATTCTTAGAAATAACTTTGAAGTCCATTTTCCCAACTCAGTCAAGAATTCCCTCACCCTCGTTAATGAGCTTAAGAATTTTCCGATCACCGAGTCCGACATCCTTGTTTCGTTCGACATTGTCAACCTCTTCCCTAGCATCCCTTTTAACGATTGTTTAAAGATTATTGACGAACTTCTCTCCCTCCCTCAACTCCCAGACCTTACCTGCACTTTCCTCTCTAGATCCCTCCAATTGTGTTCAGAACAAAACTATTTCTCGTTTAACAATTAACAATATCATCAAACCACTGGTTTACCTATGGGTAGCAACTTATCCCCTTTGTTAGCTGAAATTTTTCTGAACCACTTGGAATCCACACTATTCCAATTTAGTGAAATTAAAACCCATTTCCGTTTCTACAAAAGATATATTGATGACATTCTTGTGGTCTTTGGGGGTGACAGGTCTGAGCTTAATCAGTGCTTTGAAATTTTAAATTCTCTTCACCCCAATATCAAATTTACTCTAGAAATTGAGTCTAATAAGTCTATTAATTTCTTGGACCTGTCATTGAGTAGAGGCACTTCGAGGGTGGAAATCGGCATCTATCGAAAACCTACCACCACTGACCGTTATACCATATCACTCCGTCATCCTCTCTCACACAAACTTGCTTCCTTCAGATTTTTCTTTCACAGACTCCTTTCCCTTGACCTTTCCGAACCTCTTTACTTGAAAGAACTAGACATCATTTTTCAAATCGCTAGTGCGAATAATTACCCGTTCCAATTGATCAATAATTTACACCGTAAGATGATGTTGAAAGACTTCCTATCCAGACGTACCACCCTCTCTCAGACCCCTGATTCCCCTTCCAAATATTTCTCCTTACAGTACATTGGTCCCATATCAGAAATAATAGCCCGTCTCTTCCGTCCCCTCAAAGTTTCCATTTCCTTCTCTGTCAAGAACAACTTAAGTTCTATCTTAGTCAAAACCAAAGACCTAATACCTCCTTTATCCAAGTCTGGAGTTTATAAACTGGTTTGTTCAGATTGCCCAGCTTGTTACATTGGACAAACTGGTCGTTCTTTTAAAATTCGGTTCTCTGAACACATCACTGCCATTAAGAATAACAACATAAGCTCTGTTCAACCTCATCCCAGTTCTTCCTTCGCTCACCACATCCTTAGTTCAGGCCACTCGTTTTCTAAAGAGGACTTCAAATTTTGCATGTTTGTAACAAAAGTCTCAAATTGGGCTTTTTTGAAATGAAAGAGATTTACCTCCACTATAGGACGAATCCTCAACACTCCCTTAATGAAATCCTTCACTTAAATAAAAATTAGCTTTTTCTCACCAAGTAGTTTCCGACCCCGATACGCTTGTCAGCCCTTCGTTTTTAGTTTAAGTTTACGTTGCCCTTTTTCTGCCTTCAGCAGTTCAGGGTTGTTACTTTTGGGCTTCTATTCAGTCCGTGAGTCCCGACGACTACCTTCAGTAGAGACAGGGTATTTTGGCCCATTAAATTTAAATATTTTCTAAAAACAATAGCCTAATGTAAGCTAAGTTACATTCTTTTCACCTTTCTTCTTTTTTCGTCCCATAACCAATCCGGCCCTTTTTTCCTTTTTAATTGTCAAATTTTTCAAGTTTCCCGCTTTTGCCCCTTCCCTTCAGTTACTTAACCTGTCGTATTTAGATAGCACATTTCACTTTGCTTGTCAAGATGGCTGTGTCCATCTCGTCTCCTCTAATTTCTTTAATTTAAACAATTGTTTTATAATATGTGAGGACAAAAAGTTTTTTAGATTGTTAATATTGTTATTGTTCCCATGTTCTAATTAGTAATTTTTTCCCGTAAGTATAACTATATTCTAGACTCGTTTTTAACACATGTTTTACAGCATATTGATAACCAAATGTACCATTTTAAAATGTAATTTTCAACCACCTTTATATGTTCTCTTAAACTTAAGGTAGGTCACCTAAGGTTAGTCATTGTTTCAAATTAATTATTAATTAATATTTCAGCTTGATAATGACCTTCGGGTCGAAACTATAGTCGCTGTCACCTAATGCCTTGAATCTAATACCTGAAATAATTAAAAGAAGTATGGGGAAGGTTTAGTGTCTTTATCAATCCACTTAGTCAATATCACCCCGTTTTGAGTCGTTATAAGATGGATAGCTACCAATTAAGTCATTATAGACATTAACAAATGTCACAAATGCGGCTG